TAATAAGCATTTATCCATAAGAAATTATTTTTGAGACTAGACATGAAAATGTTAGTCTAGGTTTAACAAAAATAGTACAGTATATAAACTTTTTGACTTCCTTAATTGTTTTGTATATTCAAAAAAAAAAAAACTGAGCTGCAAAAACATGTTTCCATCAGTTACGTTCCACATGGGTATACTTGGCCAAGGTCTTGCCTTAGAGGTCTCATCTCATTGCTCATTACTAATATTTTTGTTCTATATCTATCTATATAATGCCTCTAAACAAATTGAACTAGGGCATTGAAAATACTTAATACATACTGAAGATTTATGCTAAAGTTTACTATTAATCAATAAATGAATTTATATACTGTATTGCTTGAGTTTTAATAATAATTTATTTACTCAACAGGGTGACCATCAAAATACATTTAGAGCAGAGTCAATTTAACAAATAACAAAGGTGTAATAAATAAAATAAAGTAGTGGTTGAAAACAAAAGGAGATTAAAATATATCTATCAACAAACTAGCTACTTATACCTCTAATTAACTGAGAGAGTTTANTATTTTTAATTATTATAAAATGGCAAAAAGCTTAATTTTGGGGGTAGGGATGAGTTTTGTAAAAAATTGTAAATGCTAATAATGAGCAAAATCGTCATTAAGTTTGACCCTACTGGAGATACATGCAACTCCATTATTTCCTCCTCGACCTTTAACCACCAGATAAACAAATATCTCTGCAAAATTTCAGAAATTTTCAACAAAAAGCACAGGAGTTATTAAGCTTCAAACAGGGTGAACAAACTTGTGCCCCCACACACTAACGTCAATACATACAGAAAAACCCCAAAAATTTTTTTGCATTTCTTAATATTTCAAGGTGTCCTAAGTCCAAAAATCTTGGGGGGGGTCATTTTTTGACTGATTCTCTCTGTTATATTTAACAGCTGGGAAAGTAAAAATATTAGTTTTTCTTCAACTTTAACCACTGTTAAAGGTATATTGATTACTTCATTAAATTAACTACGGTAGCTAGTTCAATTTTATCAACAGAAAGGAAGTATAGTACATTTCATAGCTTTGAATTTCTGTTACAAAACTGTAATAAAGAAAATATACCTATATTCAAGTTGCTTATACAAATGATAACTAACTTCATATTTATGATTTGTTTAACATACAGTCATTCACAACAACTTTGAGCATGCTTTCAAAAGAAATAGTTCACAAAAAACAGTACTCTTTCTTAAAAGTTGTCTCCAGGAGTAAATTTATAATGAGCAATTATTTATTGTGACATCATCGCAATGCTGGGCTGCAATTTTTAATCATATTTTTCATTTATTTAATTTAAAGTATATGCTCCACATCAAGTTANGGCAATTATATTCACTGAAGAAGATAGAGCTAGGGAACTACAGAGTATATATATGCAAATATGGAAGGATGTGCTGATGATTCAAAAATTGATAAGGAAGTTGAGAATAAAATCTCTTAAGTTGGAGGAGCAAGTAAGGAATTAAAGGAGTCTATGTTTTTATTGATTGAGGTTTGCAAATTAAAAAATGTAACCCAGAACCTGTGGGAATGTGGAGGTATCTTAAATGCAGGCAGCTTGGCTACCTAGCACAGTAGTACAAGATGAAAAAAGTGTTAAACTAAGAGTGAACTAGTTGTGTGAATCAGCTACTTCTATTGTTAAGTTTGGCCAATGAAATTTTGTTATCTGATAGATGAGTCTCAATTATTGGTAGTACAATCAATGACTTTAAGGTTAAGTGGTTGATAGATACTGAGGCTGAGAGGTTGGTTATTGATGAGAAATTAGCAAGTTGGCTGAGAGAGATAGGCCCAAGTTGTATAGTTTTCAGTTGTATTTCCATAGAGGATTGTGGGAACCTCTGTTACTAGGCCTCTGGAAATTTTCTGATTTTCCAATAGCTCTATCCATCTGATCTAGAAACTAAAAGTTATGAGTATGCAGAATTTAGAATTGTGAAAAAATAGATAAAAGGTTTCAATCAGAGCATAGACCAAAAATTCTGTCTACTAGAGAGATGTAATGGTTGTCTTTTAGGAATCAATGTACAATAAATAGAATCAGAATATACTGTATATATGCAGTGTGTATATATTGGTTGAGGTGTGCTCTTCTTACAGACAGTTGTACAGTTATGTCATATCTATCATGGTCTTTGATTGATTTCAAGATTAAAGAAATGGACTTCTGAAAAACTATCGGTCCATGTTGAATGTAAGTCTCAAGAGTTTCTGAGATAGATGTGATGAAAGAACTGGCATAGCTTCTCTTCCAAATGATAAGAATATCATCTGCATAATTGTGTCTGTATTGAGAAATTTCAATTACTGTTATCATTATAAAAGCCAAAGAAATTATTTTAAACGAAATTATTCTATAAAATTAAGATTTTCACATATTTACGTAGTATTTCTCCAGATTTTTAAAACATATACAGCTGTTTTGGAGATCAAGACCTAATCATTTATATTAAATTCTCTACTTTTTGGAATTTAACTTACCCTCAAGTGTACCAACACAATGTTTATAGAAAATGCATCTCAAATTATATTCAGGTTACATTTTCTGTCATTATGACTTCTGTAGTCTTAATGTAAAAAAAATAGGTGTATGTGCAGTTAAGATTTGAGATTAGCCTATAAGAAAGTGAAAACATAGCTTATGAAAGGAGAGAGGGTGAAAATTTAAATATATTTTTAAATATTTAATTTTAAGCTGATATTTTGTCATTTATATTAAATAAGTTATTTCCATTCTATTAGCTAAGAAAACATCTAAAAGGAACATTTATCGACCCATGGATGAGAAAACATTAGAAAAAGCTAGAATAAAACGTGAAAAAGAAGTACGACTGAATAATATAATAAGAGAACTGGTCGTTTATTCTCTGTATCTTTGGATTCTCGTAATTATAAGCTATGGTCAAAGAGATCCAAACGGTTATTATATGAGGTTAAACATAATAAATAATTTTATCAAACCTGGAGATCACTGGAATGATTTTAATAAGGTATAAATATTAAACAATTGTATTTTATTTTAATATTTTTCTATATTAAATTTTGGCTACTTTAAAGGTTAATACGGATAGACGATTTTGGAATTGGACTACTGAAGTTTTGATTCCAGAATTATTGATCGGAAACTGGTATAATAATCGAATACCTTTAGGTTTGCGAGGTTTTATTGATGACAGAAATAATGTAAAAATAAGTTATGCCATTATGAGACAAGTACGAATTAAAACTAGTAAGTAGTAGTAAAATATTTTTTTGTTTTTCGGTGTTCGCTCAAATATGTTTACGTAATGGGTAATCAAATAAAAAGTTTAAAATTACTTGTGAAAATTACACTTGGTAACGCAGGGTATCAATGGCTCATCAATCATCACTGATTTATTTATTGAGAGTTCTTGTGATTGTTAGCAAAGTAGTAAGGAATTGCCCATAAATTAAGTCCGCATTTTTCTTCAAATTTTTACTCCCCCTCCCCCTCTTTGGACGTCCAACAAAACTCAAATCCCCCTCAAAACCTTTATCACTATATTAGTAATAAAATGCATAAACTGTATAAAATTTAATGAAATAAAACGGACGTCCGTCGAAGTTCAAAAAGTAAAAGTAGCCAACTCAGAAAGCATTCTTCTTTGATAAATAACCTGAGATTTGACGATAAAATCAAAAAGACATTTTTGTGAATAGATAAAAATGTAAAAATTCAAAGCCTTGAATTTACAATATAACATTAATATGGATGATCTATACAACGAGATGGCTATACTGTAGTTAAAGAAAAAGTAACAAGTGTAATGATGGAAAATTTAAGTATTCCAGAAAAACTGGTAAAATTTTTGAACATTGCCAAACTCAGCGATGGGGGATTTATCCGTTGAACCAGAGAAAAATTCATCAGCGGGAATTCCATGACCACTGNAATTATTGCATTTTATAAATAGTAATTACTTTGAAAATGAGTTAGTTTTTCAGAAAATAAATGAAAAATATTCAAGTGAATATAAAAGAAAACCAGTTTACGTAATGGGTAATCAAATAAAAAGTTTAAAATTACTTGTGAAAATTACACTTGGTAACGCAGGGTATCAATGGCTCATCAACCATCACTGATTTATTTATTTATACAACGAGATAGCTATACTGTAGTTAAAGAAAAAGTAACAAGTGTAATGATGGAAAATTTAAGTATTCCAGAAAAACTGGTAAAATTTTTGAACATTGCCAAACTCAGCGATGGGGGATTTATCCGTTGAACCAGAGAAAAATTCATCAGCGGGAATTCCATGACCACTGTGATTATTTCTTATGAAATCAAGTAAAAAGCATAAAAACATTTAAAGTTTCCAAACTCCAAGCTTTATTTATGTTAACCGTCTTATGATTAAGTTTAA